TTTTTTCTTTTTCTTCTTCATTAAAAAGTTTACGTTTGTTATAGGAAGTACATTATGTGACATTTACAATGTAATTATACTTTTACAGTATAAATACGTTTGGAATAAAATATAAGTTAACATAGGAAAAAATAGAAGTGTATTTTCTAACGAATTCAGAATCATTTTTATATTAAAATTATGTTTGTATGAACTGCAATAAACGAAAATTGCCAACTGAAAATTAAATTTAATGTTTATAACTAAACATTTTTTAGTAAAGAATGGATGTTGAATCTGAATGTTTACATTTAATATAAATTGTTATTAATGTTACATACGTGTATATGTGTATTTAATTATTTGTATGGTTAAGGAAAACTTCAAAAAGAAATACATTCATGTATAGGATATAACTATATATTCTTTTATTATTTTAAGAATCAAAATCTTCCACCGATGATCGTGAAAACGAAGAGTTTATGACTTCATGTCTGTGTTCAAATAAAAGTGATGCTAGACTCGAGGATTTGTTATGGTATCACGGTGATATGAGGTTATGCACTATATATCCTCAAGTATGCATTAAGCATTAGTAGTAACACAAGAATATTATTGTAATCACAATTTAACATTGCACAATTAATTATTTAACGAATTGCTATTTCACCAGCAAAAAGTTGATATCTCGAGTTGGTTAACTTATCAGTATGGCAGAACATTTTTTCCCTTGCATACGACTAACTCTACCGGAAGTTCATTTCAACCAGAGTACAAACTTTATATTCTTGTTGAGGCCGACCTTGAGAGCTTTAAACCCACTTCTACAACCAAGGCTACAAAGGTATATCATCAGCTTGTAAACGTAGAGGAAGCACATTATTATTTTCCCTTTTTTAGATTTTGTTTTCACCATTAAAAAGATTAAAAAAAAGAAACTATAAGTAATTATAAATATGATAAGATCAATGGAATTTAAAATAAGTGTAATAAAATGATAATTGTTAGGTATTGTATAGATACGTATACGTGATGGAAGTTCGGAAACACAGTCGTTAATTGAAATGGTAAATTCATTTATATTTTAGGTTGAAGAGTACGGTTTAATTATAACATGGACAGCAAATAAAAATATCGACTTAATTATAGAGACAGATTTAGATACTCTAGTAAAATTTTTTATCGCATCTATGGAAGGTCAATGTTATATTAATAATGGCTTGTTGCTGAAACGTATACAGAGTAAGTGAGCACTTCGATTATGGTAATCAAAACTGTCGGATTAAAGTAGTTTTCTGTAATTTTCAGCTGTTCTGGTATCAGGAAAGCCTTGTTTTTATAACAATGATTTACTGAATGTGCCGCCAACCAGAAGTAAGAATAAACGGTTTTGTATATAGTGTTTAGTGATAAAAATAAGTATAATGCTACAGCATGTTCATTAGAATGCTGCTTACTTATAAGGGTTAAAACTTGTTGATTTTGTTTGGAAATTTTAATACCTCCTTATAAAGTATTTTATAAAATTAGTGTTAAACGTAAAATGTTCCCTCCGTAACGTCACGCTTTAGCGACGCCTTTAATGTGTCATTCCTATATTCACGTATCCTAAATATTTGCTTAACTATTTCGTTTCAGCTGGAATATTTTAATATTATTTATATAAGATAATTATTATTTTATTTTACTGTCTGCTTACCTAAAACCCTTTTTTCCGAAAATACGACGTGAGATATATAAATATTACTTTACAAGAATCAATTTTTCCATATCTACATTTACTAATCAAAAGTTAGATCCTAAGAGTTAATAGTAAATATTGAATGATCAGTGGTAAATAATGGATTTTGTAGTGTACTACTTTTCGAAAGCTTAAATCGAGCTTTTAAAGGTTCAAGGTTTAGTCCTAAAACTTCGAAGACTCGAGCTTTATAAAACTCTCAGCTTTTAAGGTTGAGCCCGGAAGCTTCAGACTCAAGTTTTACAAAACTTTGAACTTTCAAACCTCAGTCTTCATGGTTGAGCCTGGAAGTTTCGAAGACTCGAGTTTTATAAAACTCTAAGCTTTCAAGTTTCAGCTTTTGGAATGGTTGAGTTAGGTCAACTTTATTTAAGCTCAGAGGACTCGAGCTTTTTACAACAATAAACGTGCGACTGTCTATGCAAGCGTGCAAAAAAGCTTGTCCATACTGATAGACTCTGTCTACAGCCTGTTTGACTACATTACAACCGTAAACTGGAACGATATCGGCAAACGATGTGTGTACAGTCCCTGATGAAAAAATTAGTGCCACCCATCGTTCTTAACATTTTTCGCAGTAATCATAGTATACAAAGTCCAAATGGTATTTTAACAATAATGTCTTCATCGTAGTGTCAAGACTGAGAGGTAAGCAAAGAAATGAAGCCTGAGTTACACAAAATTAATATGAAGAAACGACTAGACGTAAGTATCAGATAATCAAAGGACGCTCGTTGTTGATCTTCACAAAGATGACATCAATAGTGGCCCTAAGTTTTTGATCAGGGACTATAGATTGTTTACAAACAATGTGAGCAGTGAGTTGGTAACTAATTCGGATGAAAGTGAAAGCTTCCACTACTCCCGAACATCTTGGACACCTTGGGAAAGCTGGAGTACTAAATGGGTGCTGCTGCATGGCTGCTTTAAGTTCCAACATTTTCCAACTACGTCATTATTTTTGTTAACTTGCTTGTCGACACAGTATATCTGTCAGTCCTCGTTCACGAAAAATGCTTGATCCTGTATTTAGTTCTCATATTGCGTTTTGAACAGTAAATATAGAAAATTTTTTTGTAATTTTTTCGATGAAATTTTGTTTCGCTTTTTTCACTATATAAGCACTGTAATTTCATAGGGTTGGCTAAAAAGTTTTCTAATGTTTCTAAGAACATTTTAACGCAAGGTTCCTTCCTCGTGTCAAATTCAATAAAATGAAAAAGACTTTTTGGCTGATCGATTCCACGAAACCTGTCCACTAATTGCAGTTTCCACGTTTTTATGTTATCTAGAACGCACATTTTGTTGCACCATACGTTATGTTTTTGAATTCATTACTTGGCATCTGAAAAAATTTTCTTGGTGAACGTTACTGGTATTGCGAATACAATGTTCCTTGTGCTTGTAAGATTTTATAGATAATGTGGAATGGCAGTCGCACATTGAGAAATTAAGAATATTAAGCGAAGCTGCCAGAGTAGCGTCGGAACAGTGTAAAACACTTGAAGTCGAGGACTTTCCAGGAGTAGTAGTATATCCAGACAATACCGCGACGGAGACAGCGTCGGAACATTTGCAACGGATTGCGTCAAACGAAACGTTAGGTAAAACTATGATAATAATTTATTGATAATACATTTGTAAGATGGCAGTGTGACTATTTTATTAGTCACATGGAAACATTAGTAGCTAATAATTGAGCCATTCATTGGCCAAAAGGATTAGCTTTAAACAAAGAATAGAGAAAAGTGATATAATAGTAATTCAAAAGTGAAGCAAAGTAAATATTGCAAAATGTATTTTACTTTATTATTATATTTGTAGCTTCAATCTATCGAACATGTAAAATGCATGAACTATAGTATCCTTGAAGTAATCTTTATTATCATCGAAATTTTGGCCGAAAGAATGTTTGTTCTTTCATCGTGCTAAATTCAATAATAAGGAAATTTGTGTTAAATATAAAAAGTTAAATTTGTCTCGAATACAAAATTTTGAACAATTCGAAAAGTGAAGTTGACTGAATCTATAAGCGAATGATCCTTTATCAATTCTTTGTCAATATAAAATTCTATTTAATGGTTCGATTGTTTTTAAACACAATGGTTATTATTTATTTTTTTTATTTTTTTATAATTTATTCTTCTATTATCAGTGATTATATTTTAGATCAAAAATAAATGTAGAACGTACCCAGAGTTCTTCTCCATTTTTTCAATAAATTATAAATAACAAAGTAGTCATATCGATCATATGAGAAATGAATCACAAGGCAAGGGGTTAATAAACACTCTCAATATTTGTTCTGGCACAACGAATATTTGTTTTAGAAAGTGGAAAGAGCAGTAGCGCTTCTGAGCCAGATTCCGCAAGCGTTTCGCGAAAGGAACATCAGCTCTCATCGGATGTGATAGATACTTCCAAAGAAGACACTACTCTCAAACAAGACGTGTCACGTTCCGCTAGCAAATCGCTCGACACGCTCGACACTTTAGAAGAATCCGAAGTTAAAAGGACGCGGCCAGCGTCCTGCATTGATATCAAAACTACTAGCACATCCGTGGAGCCAAAAACATTTTTCAGCGCGAAGGATAGTAAAAGCGTACCGTCTATAAGTGGCTCCAAGTAAGTATTTCATTCCCAGAATATAGAATATCACGGAGTTCCTAATTACCATCAAACCGTGTAACATTAGTCTGTAATTTCAAATATCTAAGAATGCGATTAGAAAGATAGAATTACAATAGGAAATCATTTTTTCATAACAAATATTATGAAAAGCATTACAATTCATATATTTTATATATTTTTCCATTTACTCTTTCGAATTTCTCATAAACGCATAAAAGTCCGCAGACCACTTATCTATATAAAGAAATTTTGCAACCGATTATCTGAGGGCTGATAAGATACAGATGGAAAATATAACTGAAACCCTTCGTTTTGTGAATAGTATTCGAACTGTCGTTCCAGTTACAATCCCAGGAACAAGAAGTGTTTATTATAAAATATTCTTCCTAAATAATACTGAATGGCTTCGTTTTGCAGAAATTCAATGGCGGAAGTAATCGAGAAATTAACTTCTCTCAACCCGAACGTTAAACCGCCGAATGTCTTAATATTCGCGGACAGCATTATAGCGTTGAACAATGTGAAGGGCGTATTAGAGAATTCTCTTGGGACAACCAAGTATGTTTATTACTTTTTCAACTTTTCATTATTTAACAAATTTCATAGTTTCTTTTACTAGTTTATTTTTTTATCAGTTTCGTTTGTTGAATTTTATTGGCGTTTTACGTATACTATTTGTGTTTATTAAGTAAAATTATAATCGGTATATATGTAATTTTTCTATTGTCTAATTTTTTGTAAAATTGTTTCTATTTGAACAGGTACACCATTTACGCGTTACCGTTCCAAGAGGCTCGTAACGACACGTGGATAGACAACGCAGCTTTGGTCGTTGTTTGCGGCAATGTTGGTAACGAAATTGGAAATCGGATCGTTGAATATATCCTCCGCGGCGGTAAACTTCTCGCGTTGTGCTCCGACGTGCTCCAAGCGTTGCTTCCGGCGTTTAAAACCGCGGAAGTTCGCGAGAATGAGCTCGTCCATTTTTCGTATGGGAAATGGAAACATGTACGGATGATGCACCACATTTTCTGTTATCAAGCGTCTCCGATAAGAACGAGATTTTCTCAAGATCACGAGGACATCAAGTAAGATTTACATATAAGTGGCGTTCAAAAGTTCCTGGCCAGATCGTGTTTGGAACTTCTCTTAGACAATAAAGGCTTTAAGAACTTTTTGTCATTGTGACATATAAAGGATATATTGCATGAGAGGATACTGTGAACAAATCAACACAGTTTATTCTTTATATATATTTCTTTAGAAATAAATAATTCAGCATATTCAAAGGTTTTCTGCCAGAGTGATTGTAAAAGAAAATAATGCTTGTTTTCTACTACAATAATAATTTAATGCATAGCGTTGAATATATTACACTTAGTATTTTGTGGCCATATCTTTTGCATTTATGACAGCGGCACATCGATGTGGCATGAACTCAATTCCGACTTTTGAACGTCACTGTATATCTTTGTTACATGTACACTTTCAATATTATTCAACAGGTCTGAGTAAGCTGAAAACAATTACATCAGTAATTGATATGAATAACGTTGAAAAGTGAACTTGAACTGTTTCGTAATTCACGACATGAATTTATTATTGCCCTATTAACCTCTTGACCTATAATATCGTGTCAGACTCGTGATGAAACTTTTAAACTGCATTTGACAATTTTGTTATTTATTTTTTTGGAATATAAATTGAATATCACTTTTCTGTTATCGATCACTAAACTTTGAAGTAAGCATAGACATAGAATAAAATTGTTTCTTTGCCTGATAAATTATTAATAATAAGGTACGTGTATCGGTCATAGTTAACACTAAAATTACCAGACAAAATGGTCCATTCCTGGTTTCTTCTTTTCGAAATTATTAAGAAGATAACAGATCTTTCTCTGAGAAATTAATCAAGAAATTGATGTAGCAATGTGCAAACTGAATTGAAAATCAAGTAAAGTCTGAATAGACGTACTCTTGTAGTTTCTATAAAGGAATTTCAAAAAGTCAAGCTAACTGCTCGGTAGTTTTATTGTCAAGAAATAAATCACAAAGCAATGGGTTAATCAAATCCGAAGTGCATTAACATCCCTCGTAAACATCAAAGAACAACATTATTATTACATAAAAGTGATTGTAAAACTTGCAATAAATCGTTCGTTTGCCATCGTATTCGCTTGAAATAAGCATCAATCGGTGCACAACTATTCACACACGTGTTACACGTGGTAACTAAACAATTTTTGAGAAACAGTGCCGCATTCTGCTGCAAGGATGTTATAACAACATCTTGTTATAACAACAATGGGAAACAAATTTCTAGAGTATCTGATCCATCTACGTCGACATTAACACTACATATTTCTACCGAAGGTGACAACAGACATCTTTTGAAATTTTAACTTAAAATTCTTTTCTCAATTTAATCATTATTCCTCAGTTGAATTTTGAACATTTCCTATGATTAATTTTATAATCGTTATTAGAAAAGTCGAAAAGTCATTTCAGGATGTACGACTAAACTTTGAAAATAATTTTAAGTTAAAAATTCGAAAGGTGTTTTGACACCTTCGGTAGAAATAATGTTAAATATAATTGTTTCAGTCTATAATAATACAAATTTATCACAACAATGAACAACAAATTTCTAGAGTATCTGGTCTATCTACGCCGACTTCAGTAGATGTGAAAGACAAAAAGGGGAACTCGCATTTGTTCGACGTGAAGGTCCTCGGAACCGAGGAGACATGGTACACGCCGAGCATTTTACTCGCCAGCCCACGGGGCAACAATGGTAAAATTGTTTTCTCCCAAATACACTTGGAGGTCGACCCTATGCAATACGAGTTCGAGGAAAGCAAATTCCTGGCTTTGAAGGAGAGCAACGACGCTCGTATCGAGATATTTAACGATCTCTTAAAAGTACATCTCGGGATGAAACTTTGCGAGACTTCCGAGCCAACTTTGAAATATATGCCAGCTTTCTTCTTGGGTCGGCACGAGGTGAGCGTGAAACGATTTTTCCAGATGAGACACAGTTATGTTTAAAGTATATTTTATTTGCACAGTCAAGTATGAAAAATATGAATTACAATCGAGTAATTTGATTAGAAGCGTTTTACGAAAGTTTGATGGCTACAGCCGTACGCGAGATATTGTTCTTCGTTGCGTGTACAGTTTGATGGCAGATGGGACAAGTGTAAGGGTTGAATAAGGTAGAAAGATTTTGGAAGTGACGGTCATTTGAAAAAAAAAATCGTTACATTAACTACAGCTCTAACCGCATGATAATCGCATTCGCGTTTGCACTGGACATATTTGTGACTGTTCTGAATAACTTGGAATAATTGTATCTTCACTTGCGTAACAGAAGCATTTAGATCATCATTTTGTTTTAATATTCTACTGGATTAATGATTAAATACAGACTAATACCATGTGATTGTTTATAATGTCTCCGTATATTCTGTTAGGAATGAGTTTCTTGGTATAATTCATTTGTCGATTATCTTTTTACAGTTGAAACTGGAAATGTTAGGCAGAATAAAAGATAGAATGAATTCAAACGAGACTTTGAAATTAACAAATATAAGTATACAATTCTGTCGAGGTAATACCGTCGAACAATCAGCTTCGCATTCGTTTCTGCCAATTATGGTGCACCAGTGCCCTGACAATTTTTCAACGATTGAATATTTTGAGGTAATATTTCCTTTAAATAGTATTATAATATAATTACGTATATAGGTACAGTGAAATAAGTAAATTGAATTTTGAAGGAAATTTAATTAATTCAGCTTGCCCTTTCGTTAATTGGTACTTTATTATTATGGGGTACTGTATAAACGATTCTTTTCACAGAATTTAACTACGAAAGAGTTAGGTCGTTTAGTAATCTACGCGGATCTAATGACGTCGTCGATGGACGTTGTAGATGGAGTACAATTACATCATGGTTTAGCTGTTATTCCTTACCAGCAATCTAAGGGGCGAGGTGCGTAAATACATTTCATCAAGTATATTGATTTAAAAGTTATAATTTGATTCCATAATTAATATCGCAATTATGCAGTCAGAAATTTCAGACTTTGCTATTATTTCTTATTAAGTAACGACCCTTTTTTAATTACTGACACTAATTTCACCGTATACTTGTTATTGAATATTAATTAAAGGGGTGTCCCATTTATTTTGACAATCTTAAACGTTTTGGTTCTCTTTGGCGACATAAGAAATGGTTTCAATTAAAGTTTGTTCGACTATAAAAATGTTTGTGTCGGGGATGTATTTTTGGAGATCTTAAAATAATTATTTCCTTTTTAAAAAGTCTTGAAACCATTGTTTTATTTTTAAATGGAATTATTTTTTTATTCAGACGTGTAACGAGATAGGATTACCATCAATCTTAAGTTTTATTTCCGTTATTATTCGTTTGTAGGGAGAGATAAGAACCAATGGCTCAGTCCTAAGGGAAGCGGGACGTTTACTTTACAAGTGCATATACCAACTAATTCAATACTTGGACAACATATCTCAATATTACAGCATGTGGTATCCGTCGCAATAGTGTCTGCTATTAGATCTTTACCTGAATACGAGGTGAGATTTCTCTTTTTTTCTATTACACGAAGTTCAAATGGCGAAACCAATATAATTGATACTAACTGACATGTAACTTTACTTGTGTATGTCGATTTTTATACACACGTCGAGTGAAGTTAATTTGAACTAAAGACTGTATTCTTAATAACAGGAAATTGATCTCAGAATAAAATGGCCTAATGACATATACGTTGGAAATAATATTAAAATCGGTGGTATGATTGTGACTACGCAATGCTTGCCAGACCTTTTTGTCTGTAATATCGGTAGGTAATATACAAATATAAACCATTAATTTTTCTTGTGCCCGTCACGTACGTAAGGAACAAAATATTTCTTTACAATGTTTATTTCTAAACACTTCCATTCTTCTTTGCACACAAAGTGTTCGACTACTGTCGTGATCTTTTTTAGAAATGAGAAAATCGATCAGTGACCGTTATTTACAGGTGTTGGAGTGAATTTGTTCAATAAGGAACCTACTTGTTGCATTAATGATATTATTGAAATGTTTAATAAAACTTATAATAAGAAGTTAAAATTGATCTCTTACGAACAATATTTTGCCATTGTATTTAATGAACTCGAGAGGTTGTTGGATATCGTACAAAGCGGAAATACAGATGCCTTTTTGGATGCTTATTATACATACTGGCTTCACTTGTAAGTTCGTTAAACCTTTATTAACTTAGACCAATAATTAATTTAAATGATATTATTATGTTCAAGAGAAAAATAGAGAAAAATAATACAATACATTTTAAGGAAGACAGTCGATATTTTTAAAAATAATTTTTCCTATAAAAAGAGAGAAATATTTAAAAAATTGTTAAATACGTTTTTCTATTAAACCCTTTTTATAATATTTACCTTTCTCGAATGTGTGTGCTTTCATAATCTTTTTAAGGAATTCAATTTACCTAGTCAACTTGTTTACTTATATATTAAAATCCTGTTTTGTATTTTTACAGCGATCAAGAGATAAGAGTCTTATCACGGACGGGTGCTTCTCAAAATGCTAAAATATTAGGTATCGATGAATATGGATTTTTACGCGTCCGTGGTGAGGAAGGAAATATATTCACCGTACATCCGGACGGGAATAGTTTCGATTGTCTCAAAGGTCTTATAATTCCAAAATAATTGGAATCACACGTAAAAATAATACTGTTGATTGTTCATTGTTCAGTCATTAATTATATACTGCTGTTCTCTCTTATTTTTATACATCACGTGTATATTTAGTAACGGTAAAATGTAATTCAGCGAAGGAGATAGTTTTTTTTACTTTTAATTTATTTGTTTATAAATATAATAATAAATACAATGTGTGAATTCTGTGTAATCCTTTTTGATTCCCTATTAACACACGGACTGAGAATTTTATAAAATTGAATATTATTTCCAAAGTTGCGATTAAAATGTTAATATAAGTACAATATAATTTCTCTTTGCCTATAAGGTGTACTTTATATTTTTATTTTTCTAGAGTAAAGTGTTTTTTCAAAGACTTTTTCCCTTTGAAAATAGAAGCAGAGTGTTTCTTTTTAAATACAGGGTAAGAAAGCTACAAGTACGGATTTTATAATTATTTATTCACCGTTAATAAAATTTGAGTGTTTTTTTTACAAAAGTTTAATTAAGGTCATAATAAACTTGACCGATTGGCACCAGAATATAAAATTGTATTTGAAAAATGAGAAACATTATAATTAATACCTCGCTAGTCTATGCGATAATATATCCTTTTTCTTTCATTACGAATTATTATTATTATATATATATATTTATGTATATATATCAACTTCGATTTAAACATATAAACATACAACAAATTGTATTTATCTTTCAATATTCGAGGAATTTCTCTTAAAAATTACATAACACGTCGATACCGCACATTAATTATTTCATATAGGTATAGATAATATAGTATTTCGTAGATAAAGTAACAATAAATTGACCTTTGCTTTCTTTGTGAGATTATTTAACTATCAGGTCACCATTTGATTGATTAATTGTCAGAAGAAGCTATACAATTTTAGTCGCTTAATTAGAGCAATATTTGATCGTTAGAACAATTTGATTTATTAATCTTCGAAGCACATTCAGAAGCGGATAAATATTCGATCTATTGTTAGACGCAAAACAAAATTTTCTCGGGTCATCACTGAACCCTGTGGCTATAGGCCTTACGTGAATTTTTCTAATTTTGCAATCACCATTCATTGTCTTCTATTCGCGAACACCATATTGATCCAGATTCGATTAATTGTTCTAGACGACAAAACATTCGCGCTGAACCCTATAACTTCGTTGTCTATACTTTTTTTGCGACGATCGATTTTGTTTCTTTATCCTATCTACGAGTGTAAGGCAAACACACATAGCCGACTTTTTCTTCTTTGCAGAGAACTATAAAACAAAAAACTGAAGTATCATTGCTACACACAAAATGAGAAACAAATTGTATTACCTTATCTTTCTGTTTGTAACAGTGAATATTAATTAAATAATATTAATGAAACATAAAAGAAGTTACTTATATTGAAGCACAAAATTGTCAAAATTTTGTAGTCGTTGTTCTTAGGCAGAATTATTAACACGTTGAATGCCATGAGGGTCACCCGGTGACCCCCGACCAAATCGAATTACTGTAATTCAGTCGATTAAACGATGATTATTTGCAAACATTTTTATATTATAAATAATCCCACTTAATGCGCTGACATTCGACAAGGTAAACGTGCAATAAAAGTGAAACGATTCGTTGAAATAATTTAATATTATATTTTTTTCAGTTTGTGTATTTTGCTATGTAACACCGTGCGGCATTCAACGTGTTAAATTCATCGGATTCAAGTTAGCCATGTATGTTTAGCAATATCATTATTCTAAACTCTTTAAACACGTGTTCGTAACAAGGATATAATACTTTGATATTTCAGGGATATGATGAATGCGATAATTCTACTAAACTATTGCCGATCGAGCTTGTCGATGATCAGAAATGAATTTTCGTATGGCCTACTCGGATGAAGAAAACGATTCGGCGTCGATTTTTGATTCTCAGCTTAATACGTGTGTAACATTTATACAATTAATACTGATCGTACGATATTTAATATAAATATCTAAACAATAATGCGGCTAGCTTCTGTGAAACTGCCTCCGTCTAGAGTCAGCATTCCATTTGGCTGTGCGATCTCTCGCGATTAGTTCACTGTTCTTTTAAAAATTTCACACACATTCGCATACATACTCGTCATATGGTACCTATTATCTAGTTTGCTTTTAGCGCTATTCAGAGTTTGTTAGTCATCGGCAGTAATACATAGTCGTAGAAGTACAGGTTCATTGATTTTCTTGGATATTTCAGTTCCATTTGTAATATTATTGCACGAATAACATTCAGCTAACGAACGGAATCAATGTTGTTGAATTAAAATAGGAAAGTCTATAATATTGTCGACGCATATGTTCTTTCCAATTTTGTAAATTGTCGTTGTATTGTATAATAAATTTTGCAAAATTGTAAGTAACGTGGCACTCGACTCGATGATAAAACAATAGAACTTTTAAATCCTCTGAATACACTCCGGAAAGAAATGAAATTCGCTTGATTTCCAAACAAATGGGAATGTCAGGAATTAAAACACAATTATTTCGTCAGTGATATAAGGCTTTTTATATAGAATTCAAATGCTTTAGCTTAATTCCAGATTTCACGAACCAATGCACGAATATTAAGAACATAGTTCTTCTGTATATTGAAATACAAATTGTGAGTTTAAATGAAATATAAATTACGTTAATATCTTATTACCTTTCACGGAAGCGAAATTGGAACTACTAAATTAATGAACCATATATATATGTAGAATTATGTCGAATGGAATTGTAGTCAAAGGATTTTTAGTCACGTGACCGGAATTTCAAGTGTTAATTTATTATAATGATAATTTTACAACTATAGCGATGAAATATCCAATCAATTGATTTCCTGTTTATTCGATATTCGTGTTTTCTTCTGTTTCACATCATTGTGTTCATCTAAATTCTTTTCTGAATTTAAACGTATTTTACATTGAATACTAAGAAATACGGAAATGTCAAATAAATATAAAAGTATCAACAGGGGATGCCTAGCTAATTGTAAATCCAATTAGTGTGACTTAATCATACTTCTGTTAATCAACGACACATTCTTCGTGTACTACTAATAATATAGTTTGTCCTTACGAGTTCTGCCCTAAAACTTCCATGGTAAAAAGTTACACGTTCCTATACTCGACTAATTCTGTAGTTCTTACGAATTAATCCCGTTACAGATCAACGTTTCTACTTATATAGTTAACTGAACAACGCATATCACGAGCATTTATCATATTCTCGTGCCAACAATATAATTTTTCTTTTTCTATTCGATTCCCAGGAAACGGACATAAACGTCGAGACAACAAACGTACAAATTCGCTCGCGCGAATTCGATTAACTTATCTTGTTAAAAAGTGACTCATTGAAAGATAATCACTAATCTTTGGCATACCTTACGCAATTAGTTTCTCGATCAAGGAATCGACGTTAAAGGCTTAAGATACTACTTCACTAACGCCCTTAATTATTTACCGTTTACCTTAAAAAATGTCCTCATCAGAGGCACGAATGAAAGTAAAGAAGTGGCAGTTGAAAGTTCGTGACCATAATTTTATATATTCTTATGCGTTTTATTCTCGAAGGGGAATGAACGTTTGATATGATTCAGATCGATCTATCTACGTCTAAATGTTTCATGACACCGAGAAGTTGCGACACGATCAATTGCCAAGAAATATATTGGGTATTCCTCGAAGTTATGATATCAGTTCCATAATGGCGAACTTTAACCCTCTACCAGCAATATGGAGCATTAAAGTCGAAAATCTTATTTCCTTATGACTTCACCAGGATCTTTTATTATTATTGGAAAATTATATGACGGTTTGGAGAAACTGTCATTTGTATATTAAAGTAGGGTCTATAATAAACATTTAATACAATAATAATTATAATTATAGATAGTATAATAATACTTACATAAAATATAATTATAAAATATAAAATTCGTAACAATGAGAAATCAAATGTGACTATAAAGGTCCAAATTACTGGACATATTAGTGAAAAACCATATTACTGGAGGGTTAATTCTAAACAGTTTCGCGATCGTAGTCTCTGCGCTTTATCGTGTCTGAAAATGTCTGAATACATTCAGCAATGCCTTAAAAAATGAATAACAGACAAATCTTTTCACTGAACAAATATCGTTAACAGAATTTCACAAATATCTTTGCATCGAACCTTGGTTTCGTTCAAGTAAAAAGGCGTATTTCTAGCAAAGTGTGACAGGATGTTTAACACCCTAAAATTGTAGGGCAAACTAAAACGCCAGTACATTCTCCATCCATAAGACAATTGAAATATTCGAGATTCGATTGGTTAAGCGTCTAACAATACGAAAAAAGGAAGAAAAGATCGTGGCTGGACACACCTTAGCATAGATTCTGTCATTAATTACCGAGTTTCGTGTGTATATGTGACTTCAAAATTTTCAAATATTTATGTTTGGAAGACAGTGTCACATACTGGAAAACAGTGCGAGAGTCTTAGATCTTTCTGGTATGAAGAACATACGTATTTTGGTTTGCGTGTACTCTAACACTAGGACATTATGTGTTCCACACATTTAATATTTTCTATTTTATACATATACGTACTTAATGTGACGAATGCATGAGTATACGAATACGAAGAATATTGGTATCGATCCTACGAGTCTAATAAGAAAGTAACATAAACGTAAACCATGGTATTGAAAAAAATCTCGGTGAATTTCTTGGAGATCAACAAGTATAGAATCGAGAGTGAGTGAAGTAGAGTGCTTCAATTACAGTCATCTAATTAGGAGACTTTGAAACGATTTCGAACAATGCATCCATATGGAAATGATTAATACCAGAATGAAATGGTACTTTCCATTATACTTTGATGCAATCTTCACTGATGTATTGGTAAAGCTTTTATGATGTTAACACTCAATTTTTGAATATATATTAATCTCGACGAGATAGTTATTTCCAAGCATCATTCTCAATTATAACTTCCTAGATTTATCAATACTATTTCTTAAAGAAAAACCATTTGAAGTAAATGAACGCAAATATAAATTCATTTGGAAATATAATATCAATTTTCATCATTTTGTTATTAAAAGTAATTCATTAATGCAATGATAAAAATTTTACAAATAGTTAACAAAAAATTATTAAAAGATACTTATACAACAATGTTTGTTGATATACGGATACATTGTATGGCGCTCCTTTTGAAGTTTCTTGTGTCGAATACGGTACATCGACAAATTCTTAGTCAGTGGTTAGTCGTTAACCGATTAACCAACAGATTGTTAGTCACTGAAATGTTTGACATTTTCTCAGTAATGCTATAGTCGTTTGTACAGGTATTGAATGAATTCTTGGCTCTGTGCGTTTACTATGTACGTATCGTTTGTGTGGATTTCGTGTTGTATGAGTTCATTCAAGTGGTGCATCGTCAATTTTGATTCGCATGCCGCAACAACGGATATTTTCAACAAATATATATGTAAACAGCGCATACATCTGAAAAACAGATCGGAATTGTGCAACAAATCTTTCGCGTTTGAAGCTATTTTTCGTGGAATAAACCGATGAAATCGAATTAGACAATTTCAGTACTTTTTGATAAGATTAATTGATCGGTCTACTATGCTCTACATTTAATTTTAATAAACACAGACGGTGGTAGTATTCAATCTTATTATTAATCGCTAGCTTAATTTGTATAACGAATAATACTATAGGACTGCCAATATTTCTAAATGATAGTAGAGATATAAGCAGTCAACAATGGAATGATTGCAACGTAAAAATAATGATCCGTTTAGCTCGTGTTTATTAAAACTCTTTTACGAAGTCGGCTCATTCAGTTAAGTGCAATATGCAGTGTGCAATGAAAATAGGTATACGAATTTTAAGATCGTATTTCATTGTTAAGGTAGGGAAAAAGTAATCCGAAAATTTAGTTGATTCACTTATGTTAAAAAGATTGCTTGAAAATAATTCCCTTTTAAATAATGTAAAATATTATAGATATTATAAAATATCATACAAAAATGATTGGTTTTTAGACACATTAAAATAATATTCTTGGAATATTACGAATTGTTACAAACAAATTAATAAATGATTTAAAGAATATTTTGAATGGAATATGGTTCCATACTTTGCACATCTATTTTTGTTACATTCTGCTTAATGACTTTCTTCAAGTAAACGTACGAAATTTCTGTATGTTCAATTTCATCAATTTTACATACTTCCTGAGACGCATTCGCTTACAGATTAAAACGGAGTGAAATATAATATACATATAATATTGATCAAAATAAACAATGCATAAAAGGATCAACAAAAACATTTCATATATGCATAGTGAATTTTGATTGAATATCGTCGTAGTAAACACTTAACCCCTCCACAGTTTAATGCAGTAAAATCTTCTACAAGTTAAATCGTCGTGTCCCATAAGGAACTATGTATTCCTTAAAAAATACAAAATTATAATATACGAGACAGATTGTATATAAACAATTTAAAATGTGTACTCTACATTATTTTCTTTCTACCTACTCTATTGTACTCTTTAAAAAATCGAATAAAGTCTTCAGTATCCCTAAGCTATCCGCCATTTTTTAAACTTCTTAATTTGTTACTTAATATCAAACTGATTTAATAGTAAAGAATCAGTGTAATTAGAAAATTGTTCTGTTGAGACTAAAACATTTAGATGACAATATAATTAATCTTATGTAAGAAACGATTAAAGAGTTAAATTTTATTTAGTGAATTTGTCCAACAAATTAATGAAAATAAAAAATGGTTTAAATGTACCTTCTGTCAAGTTTTATAAAAATGTTGAATACTTCAAAAATTTGGGTACAATAAAAACGTGAAACGATATGTTCTTCTCATTTCGGTTTGTACATAATAAAGTCAGTTATTGAAAAAAGATATAGACAGTTCTCGGAGACTTTCTTTTCATTCTAACAGACTGTGAAGGGTTAATACCGCTGTATTTTCTACGTTTAAGAATGTATAAGGAACTAACAGAGTTCGTCATTCTTATGCTTTGAGTATCATTGATCATCGAATTTCAGTATTATCAAAATTACTGTTCGATTCTTGTAACTATGTCCACAAAACAGCAAATTCGAACGTCATCGAAAAATCGGTAGCAACAAAACTAACATCGAACGAAGTTGAAATATCGTTATTGTTGAAATAAAAATCGCACTTTTTCCCTAGTTGACAGTGATTTCACTGAATATGCTTTTGATTTGCTTTCTCGTGACAAATTTCGTGACACGTGTTACGCATTTTCGATGGTAAAATGGTGAACTGGAGAACGTTTATTAATATACAAATAGTTTGTTGTCATACGTGTATACATAGAACAATAAATATTTAGTATATTAATAAATCGTGGGTGGTAACGTGTGTGTATTACGTCGATTCTACCGTTAAATGTCGCAGGTTACGATGAAAAATCGGAGAATGTCGGCGAATCGCTGTAAATGTGGAAAGTTTGATCTTCATTGGGCAATATGTTAACATCCATCTTATGCGATACCACTTTTTCGAAGAGGCAACTGATCGTTCCCACGCGCACCTTACGCTCTGGATCGCCCGACTCGAAACACAATGATAAAAATAAGAATTAGATTTGATTCGAAGTTTCATTAATGTTCAGTTTGATATCTCTTTACGTATAAATAAAATATGCTTATAAAATGATTTTCTTAAGGATCAAAGATTCATTCGAAAATGCTAATAAATGAGTGATCTACTTGGAATGAGTAAATGAAACTATCGTTATTACGGTAATTATTGACGAAACAAAAAAATGTAACGTTTGAGAATGTAGTTGCGTACAATGAACGACAGGAAACTATTTGAGACTTTTATTTATTAATGATATGTTGTATTCTAATAAATTGACACCTTCATTCACAAACCCTGACAAGTAGTTCGTGACGAAATATGGATATTTTTATGAAATGTCATAGCGAATTATTATCAAACTTTGTCAAACTATAAAACAAAAAGTGCGAGCTACATTTCGTTTATCACTGTAGTAATAAAAGTTTAAGATCACCCGAAAGCCACTTATGAACGTAATATTCCAAGCCGTGAAAGCATTAACACGTTGACTGCCACAAAAACACCAGCGTTTTATGTATCACTCAATCTTTCTGTAGTAAAGACAAAGAAGAAGAATTATTTGTTATTAATAATCACAATTCTTCTATTACATTATTATCTAGTTATCTGTGCTACTCGACACTTATTAGACATCAGTTTTCTTACAAGTTATGATTATTCTCTTATAATTTGGAAGCTCCAATCATCGGTGACCGCTGTGGAAGTCAACGTGTTAAAGCTACTACAAGGAATCGTATCGAAACAACTTCATAAACACCGATTGTCAGAGCTCGTGCGTCATGTTCTACCTGCCACCGTGGATTTTAATGAAACACATTGATCACCTGATCGGAATCGCTGGAGACCGATTTGCGACTTCGATTCCTGCAATTGTCGCTGAATACAGACGGACTGGAAACGTCCCTCGATTCAGAGACTTCGTGGACCGTCGAGAGTTTACGGTCCTCCTCGTTATCGTTATACACCTCCACCGCGATTTCACGATTTCTCGCCTGACACTCTAGACAGGGAGGGAGGTGTATGAGAGAGACCTAGCTAACCGAGGTCTCCTCGACAGACGGGCTCGCCAGTGCTTGTGTCTCACCGTTGGCGTGCTTCATCTCGTCCTGGCCGGGACGCGATCCCGGTGGACTGCTACGAGAACAAGAGGTCATGCTCTGCATCGTTTGGCTGCGGCCACCGGAGAATCGCATGCTGTATGCTGCACGGTTACCGCTTTGCAGTCCACCCGTCTGGAACGAAAGATTTACGTGTATTTGTGTTTGAACCCTTATCAGACGATATTCCAATTGACACTTGAACTACAAAATCGGTCAAAATGACCCATTCTTTGACTTTTCTTCTGCGATTACTGAAGAGGTACGAATATCTCTTTGAGAAATTACTAAAGAAGACGAGGAAGTAATGCCTAAGCTGATATTTAAACCAATTCAAATCTTGATAGATCCACGTTTGTAGATTTTATAATGAAATTTTCAGTTTAAGCACTCGGTAGTTCTAGTGTTAATGAAATATAAAATTATGAACTAATTCATCAATAAAATGATTATATTTCATTTCTATTTATATATTTATATAGCTTAATATAAAACATTATATATTCAATATAAATTTAATTTAACTTAATAAATTTATAAATATATTCAAAAATTTAATAATTCCAATTATAATTTCAATATAATGCTCTAAAATTTAAGCCATTTAAATTGTAAATTAAAAAAATAATAAAAAATAAATATAAATAAAATTTAAAATTAAAACAATATTAACACGTTAGATTCTCGGTTTTTGATAAAATAAGAGTTATAAAGTTTGACATTTAAGTTAATTAGTAGGAATTTGTTGATGTATTTTTCAGTCTGATTTTAGTGAAACTTTATACTTACATTGGAATGTCCAGGTCGAACATTTTTGTATGGTTGAAAGAGGACTAGATACACTTTCGGCGTGAAGAGGCAACCGAGAGCCACTGACGCAGAGATGTTGATACACATGCACATACTTGCTATCTGTACCTGTAAGTTCGATTTGATGTATATCTTCCATACAAATATTTATTATTCTTAAATCTTATTTTTATTATGGACAACAAACATATTCTGTACACACAAGTGTACCAGTGAAATAAATCCGGTTTCAAGCAACAAGTTGGAAAGTTTCAATAATAACATAAAAATATAAAGAGAAAGTCAAGAATGAGAAAATTGCGTTAAACCTTTCATTTTCAAGATATTAATTAATCAAACTCCGAAGTTAATAACTACTACTTAAATTTCATTCAATCTAATTAATTAAACCATCAAAATCATCATTGACTAAACAAATATTTCGTCAATAGCAAAGTGAATAACTCGAAAACGTGAAACGAAAATTAAAAATTCCTTTATTCGCAATTTTCGTTTTATACTATCGTGAAGAATTTAAAAGAAAACGTGTTTCCATTTATCATTTAACAGTTTACATAAAATGTGTTAACTTAAAGTGATTAACGACTCCTAGTAATATAAGTACAGACCTTGTAGTCGTTGTTCGAGCCGAAATAGATCGGCACGAATGCTAACCATACGATGCAGGTCGAGTACATTGTAAAACCAATATACTTCGCTTCGTTGAAGTTCTCCGGTATTTTTCGTGTCTTGAACGCGTACAGAGTACACATGAGTATTAGGAACATATTGTACACGAGGGACATCATCAGGGAGAATGTCGATACGCGGCACGTAAGTACCGCTGATAACGGATAAGGATGGATTTCCGTGGTGTCCGGTGGTTCGATAATGAGCCACACGATAGCACCGACTAATTGCACTGCAGTGATCCCTATAAAAACGGGAATTCCATAATATGATATCAAGATCGGAACTTTAACACGTTCGCTGTCAGCCTAACCTATTTATCACGATCTGAATCTTCTACCTTTCCTAAAGAAAGTCAAATTCGTTTCGTACATTGCTGCTGAATGTTATAACGTCAATGCTAAATGCATATTAATGCTGCACGTACATTAATTGATATTAAAATTAGTTAATAAGAAATTGGTATCAAAGATGTTCCTTTATTATAATTGTATATCTTGTACAATGTATTGGAAGGAGAAGTTGCACTGAATAAAATATCGTAACTGAGAACTATTCACGATATGAATAATGGTAGCGAACGTGTTAAACACGAATAATGGAAACACATCTAGAAAAGAGTTGAATTGAACTTTTGAAATCTATGTTCACTAGTATATAAGAATTTTTATTTAAAATAACGATATTAAAATACTTTCTTGATTTTGCTTGAGTCCTTACGTTTATGTACATTTCTATGCAACTGTTGCAATTACTGTCAATCAATGTCCCCATAAACATACTTAATCGTATGTATCTTATTCATTAATATATTTTACAAATGTTTTATGATTTAATAATTATAAGAGCTAATATTCTCTAAGATAATTAAAAAAGTGTTGCATAATATGCATACGCTGCATTTACAATAAAGATGCCTTTGAAAATTGTAAACTCACCGATTGCAATCACCACTTGGCTTCTGGGCGACGTATAGGGTGGTCGCTTTATACTTTTCGTTTCTTGGTTGAAGATGCGCGATATTCGATTCGTTTTCGTTAATATCGCGCTGTAACAGATGCTCAAACAGAGACCCAAACCGATCCTCAGATATGTGCAGTTCCACGTGGTCGGCTTGCTTAATATCACAAAACTCATACCGTAGCATGATAGGATTCCTACTAATAATACGTAACATAACTCGCGTCCCGAGGCCATGATTACTGGAGTGCGGTTGAAGCTGCAAAATAATTCAGTACCGAATTAATCGAATTACTTTCATGTCGGCATACTTCACGATAAACATAATTTTTAGCTTCTAATCAAAAATGCAATTCCCGTGCTTCCCGTGTGACTGTTCACGGTATAATTGAAATATATTTATCGGAGAAAATATTACAGTCATTATTAAAACTCTGCAATATAACTAGAATTTTCATCGTAACAAAGAATACCATTATAATACCAGCAGATAATTACTGAACGTGTACGTGACGGCAACCGTTAAATTGTTAAATTATATTTAAAACCGAAGGTTCCATTAAAAACGTTCAAAGTACGTACATAATTGTTTTATAAATTATACAGGGCGAGTCATTCAACCGTCACCTGAATTTACTCGTGAACTATTTACTGTATAAACAGAAACATTCGGAACGAAAGTTATTTGGTATCAATCATAAAGAAACCTTTTATATAGTGGTATGTAATTCTACATAATTTTATATAGCTTTATACAGATTTATATGGTTGTATATAATTTTATATAGATTTATATAGTTTTATTTAGTTTTATACTGTTCAATAGTGTTTCATGTAGTTACCTTATTTTTGTCAACCCAAATTCAGCTCTTAGTGCCAAAACAATTTTGCCTCGAACGTTGTTTTACCCAACGAATAAATTTTAGTGGCACGATTAAACGACTGGCCCCGTGTAATTGTTATAGAACATTTGAATCGAGAGATAACCGAGGGTTTATAATATATTTGAGCGTTCGAAATGTTCTGAAAACGCACGCAGACAGTCGCGAATGTGTACACTGTAAATCATTTTGGTGACGTACCGAATGAAAACGATCGTAGTAAATAAAGTGCTGAGTATGCCGATAGAGGCGAATATTAATGGCACTAATGCCCATGGACTGGACCATGGAATGACTTCGGCGGTGAGTTTCACGCAATTTGTCATTGTCTCGTCCGGCGCGTAGCCCGGACCGCAACTGCGACAAGTGTCATTGAAAACATAAGAGTCCTCTCGACACGCGACACAACTCCAACAACAGGCGTCCTGGAAATTTTATCTTCATTTTTCAATGTTAATAACTGCCCGGAAAAGTGGGGAATTCATTGATTAACGGGGATAAACGTGGGAAACTGTTTATTTAACACTGGGACCGCCGTGCCAGTCGAAATCACAGGTTTTAGTTCTCTTATTTTGTAATTATTCATATTTTCAAAGTATCCGATATCCGAAATGATTTTGAAAATATAGCTTCAGTGAAATACTGTAACAAATGTTTGAAGAAGTCGAGGGAAAATGTATTGTTACGATTATTGTAACGATTGCGTATTAACTCTAATAAATGCTCGATAGTTATAGTATTAAACGTTTCACATTGTCGACAAAGCATTTTGTAGCAGATTATTGCAGCAAAATTGAATAATTCTTACTGTATTAAGTTCGTTTTATTTAATACTATTAGCTATTCAGTATGTTATAATGAAATGTTCGAAACGATTGCGAATATCTTAAGGGTTGATTCTTTAAAATTATTTCTCTATGCGTAGTGATGTTTTATATATAAATAATGTAGGATCATTGGGTACTAAAGATATTGAAATATGAATGTGATGTATTACGCGTTAATTCTAATTTTTATTTACCTGGAAATTGCGAACATGGCCTAATGGACAAGTGTCGCTACATAAGCTTCGAGGAATATTCGTTTCACCAGCCCCCATTGTCCATCTTGTCATGTTGATATACAGTGTCAATCTAAATAACATTTTTTTAGGCATTAACATTTGAAGAATGAAATTGTTCATGTTGAAAAAGTTAATTAAGTGTTGCATTTTTATAAAATTTCGTAGTCTTTAGATATAATCACTATGAGTGAGATATTTTAGATTTGGATTTGATACAATAATTACTGCTATGTAAAAATTATGATAAAAGGTGATTCAGTTTATTATTAAAATTTTCGTAATTATTAAGAAAACGTTAGAAGATATTTATATTGAGACAATCAGACAATAATGTTTTATTGTGAAAACGTACTTACTCTTCTTTCCACGAACCGATGAGGACGTAATCAAAAGTGCCATCCTCGTTTCTCTGGTATTGATATATGTTATAAAATCCATATGCATCGCCGTCAGCTTTGAATTTAATTTCTGTACCCTGGCGACCTGAACAATATTTACGAGAATTAAAAAATGAATACATTATCGTACGTACATATGTAATTGACAAATGAGTTCATAAATAAATGTATTGCATTAATTGCAACGCGAATGAAAAATTTAACGAATTGATGATTTTACTCAAAATTTCCTGTCACTATTTTTCAGTCGAAATAAAAGGGGATGAATATTTAAAGAAGACACGTGCAGAACGTTACAAATTCAAAAAGATGTCATGGTCTTTTTTTGAAGTTATGTCAGTTTTATAATTTTAATAACTAAGACTTTCATCCCCCTTTGATATGAAAGATGCTTAAATTTTAAAACGAATTTTTTTACCGGGAATCTCTTGTGAGCATAAAGTAATCTCGAAGCAATGAATAATTGCCTGGTTGATATTTACTTTCGCTAACTTTAAGTCTCTTGAAATCAAGGAGTTTATTAATTGGTAAAAATGATTATCTAAAAATCATTTTAATTGTTATAATTATAATAATTACGTATTTCTACTTATCACGGATATGTATAGCTATCCATATCTATCATCAATTTGAATATCAAATAAATTATTAAAATTAATCTCCTGAAGACTTAAATTTTATAGTACAAAATTAATTTCCGATGAATATTCTCTCAAAGAATCATCATTTTTTCCCTTGCGTCACCATTTACTTGATACGTTGTATAATTATTAGATCCCGGAAGTTTGTGTAAGCAATTTTGTACAGGGACGTTGAAGGGAAACGATTTAAAGTTCGATTTTCTTCGTAAATGGTTTCAGTAAATGAGAAATAAAGTAAAATTCGATTGAACGTTATTAAAAGTTCTATTTTGTTGTTCTTTCATTTCAATCAAAAGTTGTCTTTTGCAGAGCTTTATGCGCTATCAATGAACGAAGTGCTTCGAATTTAATGATTATATGCATGTAAAGACAAATATTAGCTATACAAACGATCGTTAAGCTTTATGAAAGCGATATTTGTGTGTCGATAATTATTAATAATAATTAGATTCATCTGGTAGCGAATAATTACCGGTGAAGCTGACATTTCGAATGTGTTGTAGAAGTTGATGGCCGTCAGGAGCTGGACGAAGCTTCTCACACAAATAGTGTATTGTTCCTATGCTGTTCACGCACTCTTCTTCAATTAAATTGTGTACACCATGCGCCATCGCATAAACCGCGTCAACTAAGCAACATTCAATATCAAAGACAAATATTTAATTATTTCAACGGATTACAAAGTTTTTGGAAAACGTATATTTCCTTTTAATAATATCTTTTAACAATAAACAGCCATTCCATGGAACAAAATATTTATTAATTTAGTACTTCGTTTTCTGAACATTTCACGAATATACTAAAATAATTTATAAATTATAAAATATTCTTTCTGTTCCTTCATATGAATGTACACAGAACAGTTTTGTTAATGCACGATAAGACTCATTAATATTTCAGCTTAAATACAAATGAATATGTTCAAAATAAATATATGGAAAAATGCGAAAGAATAATATTTATAATGATAAATATGATAATTGATATACTTGCAATCCAAAAGCGACTCTGTACATCATAACCAAGATTGACAACATTCACATAACTTTCTTTCTTTCAATAATTTCAAATCTTTCTGTCCCTGTCGCAAATGTTACCACAGCCTGTTCATAATTCAGATTTTTTAATCCTTTTCGTAGTTATCTTCAATTTTATATACCAAAAAAAAGGTATTAATTTTTACAATTTTATTTCACTCGTTTTATTCACATTCACACAATCCCCTTACACATTTCATTTACTTTTACATCATTTTTTACACTTTATTCCTTATTAAACAGTTTCTCGACTTTCTATAGTACTCTACATGTAAAACGAGTCCCAAGTGTAAGAAAAATGTACAGGAAACTGCAACCGAGCCAGTCGGTTTCGAAGAATAAATTTCAAGAACGAATTTTCAAGAATTGCTCGTAGTTCTGGGAATAGAACTAAAAAGTTTCATCGAATATGGCACTTGCGATCACACCGACTGTCCTGCGAGATAGAAGACATCATCGACAGCAGAAACAAGTTCTGAACAGAACATTCAAGAGGCGAGAGAATCATTACGAAAGTGTTCCCAGGGTATCCGGGGATCGATTTCGGCTAAATTTTTTCGTCCACAGACCGCCTCCGCTCAATCCGCTTAATATCTGTCCTCGCGTTGCGGCAGTGAATAGCGATTCATCAAGTTGATGTATCGACGCGACTAAATGGCTCACTCAAAGGGAATATACACATGAGGGTATCTGAGATGACGGATTACATCTTAAACTACAGGGTGTTTCGCTAGATCTGCCGTAGGATATCTGGGTATTTATCAATTGTCTCGAGATATTTTAGTAAATGTGCAAGATATGAAGGTTAATTTCAATTTTTGTTGTGTAAACTGGAATACAATTTTTATTTTATATAGATTATATAGTTTATATGGTTTATATAGTTTATATAGTTTATATAGTTTACATGGATTATTATTTTATGAGCTCATTAGTTAATTAGTTTATACAGTTATTACTTTATATAGTTTATTAGATTATATAGTCATTAAAGCGAGAAATTTCCAAAATATTCCTACCAATTTTTTACATATCAATTACAAGTTTGAATGATGTGCATTAGAATTCTACTGAATTCGGTAACATGTTTGTGCCATATTGTAACGTCATTTAAACATTGCTACAGTACAAACTATAAGAAATATATTCTCATTCTTGCCTCTCTTTCTGTTTTGACATGCAGAGTCACTGTTTGAAAGGTCACCACTCTACAATTTAGTATTCTATGTATAAAATAAACGAAACAGTAATTTCGAGAAATTATTTTTATTAATCAGTTTGTTAACTAATCAGGGGACTGTTCGTAAAAATTATCTGAAAAAAATATCGTACTCACCGACGAATGGTACCAAGCCTTCCTGCTCATAATTAACCAATTCTTCGCTACCAGTGCAACGTGTTACCCCTTCCGACAAGTTCGCGCTGAAGCTGCATTTATGATGCTGGGACCAAAATTCGCGGAACCACACGTTTCGACAATTTACTATTTTCCCAGGTAAGTGCTTATGCGGTACGTTATTTTCAGTTTGACCGTCGCACTCGTTATCCACCCTGGGCCGAAGGTTCAGATAGTAGTTGTCGAAATCTGAAATAGGGAGTTCACGTGGAAACGTTGCGCCACAAACCCGCGAGTATTCGCCAATTAATCCATTCGCATCCGCAAGCGGAATATGCCGCGAGAGAACTTATATTGTTTCGAATTTGATTAATATATAGAATATCTTACCTTTTTGATATTTTGTAAATAGTTATTAATAAAGAAGAATAATAAATATTTAAAGCAGAATTAATTATGTATAACTTGATAAATTAAGTACCTAGGGGATGCAAATGGGACAACCCTTCGTTCTATAATATCCTGTCGCGATAAAAATTTTCTAACTTAAATTATTTGTCTTTTCTCGAATATAAATTAAATATTACTTTTCTATTACTGATCGATAATTTTTAGAGAGAATATAGAACAAGTATTAAATTCTTTTCTTTTTCTAACAAACTGTTAACCATAAAATAGGTTTATGAAGTGTAGTTATGAAAGAAATCAATGGATTAGGATAAGGCAAAGGATTAACATAGAAAAATGAGAAAATTTAGTCAGTGCCAGAATGGTGTAGGAATATAGCGTTTATGTTAACCATATTCGTAGCTAATTTACTGCGGAACACCATGGAGTACATGCAGGGAGTCTCAAGGGTAGTTCACATGCTCCGGGCAAGAAGCACACTTGATAGTAGGAAATTGTGCAATATTACAAATGATCTACAGAATTTCGAGAATAAACTTGCATATATCATATACAACTGAGTCTTCCTCGGAACTCAGTCGTTCAGAATAATTGTAATTTTGAAATAATAACAACAGAATCAGAAAGGCATTTTATTGCTTTTCCTCTTGCAATTAAAATAAAAATGTCACTCTATAGACAACAAGATTTTTCTAAAGAACATGTGCAATTTATTACTACCCGTTTTTTTAAAATTCGAAAAATACATTTATTTAATAATTCAAACCTCTTTTTATCGTTTTCTTTAAAATATTAGAAATTATTGAAACAAATGGTACAAAAATTAGACTTTCTAGTGACAATCTGTATCTTCGTAAATTATTTGTATAATATTTAATATATGGAATAATTTTACAGAAAAAAATAAATCAATAAAGTAGAATGCAATTTTTTTCAGATAATATTTCGTTTGAAACATAATCACGTTTGAAATTTTCTCTCGCACACGTGTTTAAATAAAACTCTGCTGTCGCGTCTGACCATAGCCGATCTATTCTACTTGACCGTTTAATTCTCGCGCAGCAAACCTTTGAAGTCGATTATCTCGGAAACGAACCACCGTATGAAAAAATCCTGTTACACATTTTTAACTTACTTTTCCATATACTATCACTTGTATATTAAACAAATTGATTTTATTATACACTTTCATAGATAACGTGATATTTTCATCGTCCTCGTGCGTAATTTTCTTTAGGAAACATTGTTAAAGCTTTGCATACCTTTCAGCGATGTTCGGTAAGGTAAAATCGTGATTGCACCCTCCGCTGCAAATTCTTGATGCCTTACTGGGTACACTTTTGCGCCCCATGAATCACTGCCCACCCACAAAAAATGACCTGTGCGATTGGCTCTGACAGTTGCTTGAAGAAGCTTCCTGCAAGGAAAAGTCTCCCTTCGATTATTACTGTTAATAATAATAAAAACCAATCAATTTTATCAAGAATAATAATAATATATTTAATAATGGAATAAATAATAATATAATATACCCTGACAGTTGCCTGAAGAAGCTTCCTGCAAGGAAAAGTCTCCCTTCCATTATTACTGTTAATAATAATAAAAATCAATAAATCTTAACAACAATAATAATATAAGTAATAAAGGAATAAATAATGATATAATATTTTAATTGATATATAATTAACATATAATTATAATTAATAATAACGAGTATATTATAACGTTATAATGTATTAAAGTAACAATTATCGTTATTCATCGTTACAATTGTTATTCGTTACAGAAACAGCAATATTTCCCATTCACCATCAACCAAATGAAAATTTAAAATTCTTCGGGCTTCATACTGTTTCGACAGATTAAAATGTGAAGTAAGATTAGCGTAGATACGATTAACAGGTCGTCGCACCGTTCGTTACAGCAATTCTCGCGGGTCGAGTTTAACGTTTCGCGACTCTATTTTATCTAAATTTTATCGGGATCTACCGTAGTCAGCGAGAATTCGTTGCGGCTTCGCAACGCGAGCCGTGGACGAATGTTTTACGCGCGTGCTTCTCTTCATCGGTAATCAAAGGGATGAAAACGGACCACGAAATTGAGGGTCGGAAGCGTGTCCATTTTACAGAATATTTTGGGGACTAGAACAGGAAATCTCGCTTTCATATTGTACAGCTTCGAATGAGAAATTCGATTCCACGAAAAGAATATTTATGAGATTAGTTTATTCACTTGAATATAATTTTTTCACATTATATCAGAAATACATCACAGTTCCCTTTTTGGATAATTTTTCCCATTAACTTTCAATGAATTTTCAGGATTTCCATCGAATTTTGTCTTATCATAGAAAATTGAATACTTTAATGATAAACTTAAGAAAATTAGAAATAAAATTATTGATAATATTTAATCAAGTCCATTTGACAAAGAATGAACTGCATCTCCATTAAAATATGCCAATGAGTAATTTAAATCTCAGGGCTACCATACTGATCATTTCGATAAACATTTTCTACAAATTAAATTTTGTACATAAAAATTTAATTTAAAAATCAAATGTTGCATCAAAACGATGCCAATGAAAGTCCTAAAATGTTGCAAAAGAAAATATCACGATCTAGAGAAAAGGGAAATACATTTTAAGTTCCTGCACACGTGAAATGAAAAATTTCTTTACCTTATGTTATCCTCGTCGACGAACAGAATGACACCTCTGGCGTTATATTTCGAACTAAGACGATCAATAATCTTATCAAAGTCTTCGCTTTTCGAGTTTCTCAGGATTTTTTCGCTAACTGCTACACAGATACCATATTCTACCGACAGGGAGATAAAACTGGCGATTCCCTGAAAAATACACGATCCCTGAGTATATGGTGTACAAAAGATTCCACTTATCCTCGGTATTGTGTTCAAATCAGTTCGATTCAAAAGTAATCTTTAACTTTCAGCAACGTAGTTTCCCTGAATCATTTTTAACGAATCTTTTATTTACACTTGTACTACTCGTTAAACACCGAAAGTGTTTCTTTTCATGTGGAAACACGTTCAATTAAAATATTACTATCTATAAATAAAATTATATCTCCAAAAATGTCTTACCGATTGAACACCAAAAGTATTCTTTTTCATATAAAATCTCGTTTAAATAGAACATTACAATCTACAGTTGAAATCATATTAGTTTCAAAAAATCTCTTATTTATTAAACATCCAAAGGATTCCTTTTTCTATAGAAACAAGTTTAAATAAAACTACTATCCATGAACAAAATTATATTAGTTCTTCTCTTACCGATCAAACATCAAAAGAATTACTGTTCACATATTAAAACACTTTCGATTGATATGTTCGTCTAATAAGTAAATCATCCACCATGCGAAAGCTTTAATTTTCTTCTCGCCGTTAAACAAGCGCGCTTCGGCGAAATTAATGCTCGACATTAGAATGTTCCCAGATGAAGGAAATGAAACGGTTCCACTTTTATTCACTCCGTGTTATGATCAAATTTTCAAGAGAATTTCTACGTTCACGTTTTTAGGCGTCCCCGAAGTATTCTATCCGGTGGTACTGTATTACGCGCGTGCAGTTTCGTCTTCGGTGGTTCCGCGTTACAGACGAAATTAAGTGTAAAAATTAAATTTTAATCAGAGCCCGGAATATAGAAATTTAATCACCTTCTCTCCGTAATCACCTTCAACTGCGACTGTGGAAACGTACTTCCAGCCGAGTTGATGGATAACTTCCACCATGGCCTGCGCCTGAAAATTATCTGGCGGCACCACTCTACTGAAATACTCGAAGCGACTTTTATCCGACAGCTCTGTGCTGGTTGATGCATAGCTTATTTGCGGTATCTGCGATCAAAGAAATTATCCGTCGTTTTTTTTCTCTCTTGTCTTTCCTTTCAATTCCAATCGAGGCTTCTCTGTTTGAAATTGCTTAAGGCTGGACAAGGTACTTCGAGGTAATATCGTTTGCGTAGTTCCCAACATTTATTTGTTTCTTGCCACAGAGGAAAGCAAAGTCTAATGAAAATCTTTCGATTGTTCTTGGATATATAGAGTGTCTTATAACTTCTCGTTGATTTGAAAGGAAATGTGTGTGTGTGTTTTTTTTAAGAAATTTGCGTCGTTTTGATCGAATGTTTGAGGTTATTGGTAATGTTTGATATTTGGTAATATACAGTTTTGTTTAATAATGATTATTGGTAATGAATAAGTTTTTGTGAGTTATTTGAAAGTTATGACATAACAGAAAGTAAAAGTTAAATGTTTAATATTGCACTTCTTGTTTTATCAGTTCGGTATTTGATATGCTTGAATTTAATATAACAAGTTAATGTGAAGTGTGCCGTATCATATTTATTTATTGTTATAAAAATCTATTGTGTTCATGAAGATTCTTTAACAAAATGGAATCATTTTGAGAGATTCTGTTTGAGAGAATGAAAAATATTTGTAATATTTATATCACGAATATTTATTCACCAATGATAATTCTATATGTAAGGCTATGAAAAATTGAGAGAAAAGATATTTTAGTGTGAGATCTCGTTTCTGAAAATACCGAGTTTGAACATGTTCTATCTGTAGTCAGACAGATGCAGCTTAATACATTTTTAAACTGGATTTTCTCGAAAATGAAGTTTTCAATAAATAAATTTTGCTCTGCTTGTTTAACTGAACTTTTTATGTAAAATAGTTCTCCGTCAATTAAACTATTCTCATTCAAAACAGCTGAGTGCACGTGTAAGCACTCTGCACACCTTCGTTTTTATGTTCTCTAAAAAAGTGCTTTAGATAAAAACTCCGTTTAAATTATCATTTTATACCAAATCAACTCGTATCCTCTTGAATTACTAATTACAGGACACTCTGTATATCTGTACGTGTTTAATAATATCTTAACAAACTTATTTTAATATTATCAATAAAGTAGTTAACAAGTAAACAGTGGAATAGAATGTAAAATTGGAAATAATGAAAGTATTATACAATAAAACAAATAATACCTTAGTATTTTCCGTATTATTCTTAATTTAAAGGGAAATAATTGCTAAGGATTAAATAATGATTGTATTTAGTCGATTAGAAATAAAATATACATCGAATAAACTTCACAGAAGATGTTCAATGGAACACATTATTATTACAATATGATGCAAACACGTAATTACGCGATTTAGCTAATGAATGCTCCAATATTCATATGATTGGCACTAATTAATAATAGTTGGCACATGCCGTGACATAAATAGTAAATGTTCTCTAATGTTCTATAGTAATCAAATATAACAGATGCATTACTCAGTCTTGTAATATTTTGATTATTTTAATTACTATCCCGACTACATCACTAATTTCTCGTTTCTTTACTTATTATACTTAAGTAAAAATTCTACGTGATACTTATATTAATTCTATTAAATAGCAAGATGAAATAATAATCTCGTCTACATAAATTATAACTGCCATTTTTGAAGACACAAAAAAATTTAATTTAACTACAGTAGACAGGATACTATAATATGTCACTAATAATGTTTCCTGGGTGGAGTTTCATAGACATTTTCACTTTATCAAAGAACATTTTATCCTTGATGCGCGAAAATATACGCTCGTTAGGAATTTTTATTTCAAAAATAGAAGAAATGATAAAAATCAACGTGAAACATTAATTTTTTCACACGCTTGTGACTACCCTCGTGAGTATCTACTAAAACAAAATAAATAAAACATTACATAAATATAAATTATTTGTAAAATTCCTTCTGTGTAATATTTTTCTATACAATTAAGATGAAGAAACTGACTGTGCGAACATTCGTTTGTCTTATTAAATGCTTGGCATTCGAAATAGAAGAGGAATATTCCTCAGACTAAGAAGTTCTGTTACAACAGCAATTGTTAATACATCTTTTTTTATTTTCTACGTAATCTATAGTACTGACCTTGAACAATCTTAAAATATTGGCGACCATAATTGAAACTACGCTGAAAGAAGCTCCAATAACGCCAGTCACAGGTTTGTGTGGCTCATACGTAGGCGGCTTATCATTTTCACATTTATATTCCGATATATCCTGAAAATAAGTGGAAATAAAATTATGCTGTGCATGCAGTAAATTCATGCTGTTAAATTCCAGTCTTAATTGTAGCAACGTATTGCATTAAGGTTAAGTGCATCGTGAGCAAGGTATTGGAAGTAATCGCGGAAACATTCTCGTCTGAGTAATAACGTCCAAAGACCTGTTTCAGGTATAATTCTGAAAATGATCAATCAATCAGTTACCATCATTTTTTATTAATATATTAGTTATAATCCAATACAACGAAAAGAATGCACTTCATTGTAGCCTAAAATTAAATGATTAAGTTTACAAGAATTAATTTTTCCTCAATTATTTTTCGACGAAAAGTTGTACGTTAGTTTATAAAATATTTATAATATAGATAATAATTTAAATATATATAATTTTTAACATTATTTATAAAACACTATTTTCCCCTTTAACACGTTGGATGCCATTAAACAATGATTATTGGAAAACTTTTCTATATTATAAGTAATACCACCTAATGCAATGACATTCAACAAGATAAACTTACAATAATAATAACATAATTCAATTACATATATTGATGTTACACTATTTTCATTTTGTATATTTTCTCGGAAAAATCGTGCAGCACTCAACGTGTTAATATTGATTGTAAGATATTCGTACTTATTAAATTCCACGTAGAGCACTCTACAGAAGTCTGACTCCATATTATCACATAAAGCAAGGGGTTAAGTTAGTTCCAACTATGTATTGGCCTGAGGCATCCTTTTCACAGTCGCATGTGTATTCTCACGTTTAGACGGATATACATTTTTCACGGAAGAAAGTAAACTTGATACTTCGATGCTACATAGTCGGGACAAATCGACATAAACATGAATTCCATTTCACTGCTGGAATAGCTAAATATTTATTTTGTTGAGATTCAACCATTGGTTACTGCTATTTGTATATATAAATTATTCGTGGCTTCTTTCTAAGTTCAATTTAATGGAATTATATTGAAAAATATATTTCTTCAATATGCACATCAATATTTGCATTTTAATTACCAAATTCATTTCAGTGTTATAATTAACCGCGCTTCTTTACGCAAATTATCGTTTTCATTGATTATTCTATAAAAACCAGAACAAGAAGACAATTTCTATCTCCAACGAAAACATTACTTATTATAATATTAAAATCATATGTACTACTAATTTTTATTTGTATAATATTCACTTGTATTTTATAAATTTCCACGTACTATAAACGTAAGATCTGTAATCTGACTATAACCAATTATAAAGATTTCATCCTATGTCAGTTATATATGTTATTTACATGTTTCATATATTTACAGCTGGTAAGAACCATAGGTTGCAGCATTTTATTAATTATAATTCAATCGTTTATTAACGCATTGTGGCTAATTTTCAGAATACTAAATTCTACGGATGGCGATTTTCAGTGAGATCAACTTATACCACTATATACAGAAAAACTCAAATATATTGTTAAGTAATACATTTTATATAGATAATCAGTTCGACTGAAACTGAATATTTTTTTTAAATACTGTGGTAATTGGCAAAGTTCCATAGCTAAGTGGCTTTATATAAAAACGAGATTTCTCGTTGTCAGTGTGCAATGTGTTAACAAAAATACGGAAGACGATATTCGGAAAGCAGAAAAGAAATAGGATGAACGCTGTATGAAAACATCGCAGCATTCGCGTGCATGTGACCGAGTGCACAACCGCCTGGCTGTGGCGGGTTTAAACTCCGCGACCGGAAATCGAACTTTCAATTTTCGGTAAACGCCTTTTCGACCTGTATTTCCCTGGCAAATATACACGCTCGAAGTTGTCCTGTATTCCAAGGTGTTCACGGG